AGAGGCCAGTGTGGAGGGAGAAGGGGGAGAGGGAGATATCAAGGCTTCTTTCAAGTCTTCAAGGTTGCTGAAGGGCTAGACCTACAGGAGATGGTCTTTGTGTTCCATTCAACGTAGTATGTGTCTTCAGGTGTGCAAAAATGGGCCCTGAGCCAAGATGGAGACAGAGGGAAGTTGATGTCACTGAAAAGTGAGGGGAGTGAGGGTGTGTGTGTGAGGAGAGGGGGCCCAAAAGCTGAGAAGCAAGGAGATGCGAGAGGACTCAGGAAGGGCAGTGGAGATGGGGGGAATTGCCAAAAATATGGTCGGAGGCCGATGGGAAATTCCTGGTGGCCAGAGGGTTTTTAAGAACAGAGCTATCTAGTATCTCGTTTTAAAGGTTGTGTATCTCTGCAACATTAAACTGCTCCACGGTTCTGAACCTTCAACAAAGTCTGCCACTCACATCCATGCCATATGAGACCAATTTGGGGGAAAGCAAAGAAGGTCTGAACTCCATGCCTGAGCCAGCCTGGAGGTGAAAGCAGAGAACAGGTACAGGAGGTAAAACAGCAAGTCTGCACACCCACCAGGGAGGGACTTGAAGCCAGAGTGAGACACTGAGACTGGAGGCCCCTGGGAACTCACAGAAATTTAGGCAAAGGCATGGACTTCCCCCAGGATGTGAGTGAGGAGGCTGGAGTCCATATTAGCTAACTCTCAAGGAATAAGATAAATCCTGCTAAAACATGGCTTATAAAAATTTATATTTATTACAACTTTCATTGGGTCACTTGCAAACAGGCTCTCAACCCTAATTTCCCTTAAGGTCTTAAGGCCCCTAACCCAGGATTCTCTTCCAATAGGATTTTTTGTTTGTGTTTGTGTTTGATTTTAGAATAGCCCTTGGGGCTGGGGAGGGAATGCTGTGTATGTCCACAGCTCCAGGAGATGCAGATTGTAAGGTGTCAAAGAGCAAGAAGAGAGAAAAGAGTAAACACAGGTTTCCCTTGGGAAATTTTAATTTGCCTTCCTCCCTGCCTATCCCCTCCCCCAAGGGGGCATGAAAGGTCTAGAATGATCCTCATTCTTTCCCCTTTTCCTTCTTCCTTCCCCCATTCTCTCTTCTTGTATCCCTCCAAGATATAAACTGGGAAGGAAGACAAAGGTGAAGAAGCCACCCCATTTTAAAGCTTCAAACTCTAAAAGAAACCTAATTTTCTTTGTTCCTACATTAGAAACACAGCCTGTCTCATGAACTCCTTCGTGGAGGAGATGCTTTAGAGATAAATGTGCCTTCTGTCCCAACCCTTGCTCCTTCCTCATTAGAAATGGGGAAAGAAAGACCACTTGAAATATGTCCTTGGTCCTAAGGTCTTGGAACCGTATGTATGAGACTCAAATGTCTGGCTAGAAAACAGCCTTTTCCCCCTTTACTTTCATCCTGGGGCGGTTTTGATCTTTTAGTGATCCAAGCATTGTTTAATACCTGGCAAGTGGAAGAAGGCCTGAATTTTTCGTACCCCTTCCATCAGAAGGATCTCATAAGCCCTTGGTACCAGTGAAGGCAGCCAAACCAAACCAACATCCACTTGTAGAGGAAAAAGATTTGGGCTCCTTGCTCTTAAATTGGGTTAATGGATATCAATTGAACTAAGATATGTTAAGTGCCTACCATGCACCGTGCACCATGTGAAGTATTTTATATCTGTTTACATAGCATTTAGCAACTCACAACAACTTAGCGTGACCAACAACCCCAGTTTGCCTGGTACTGACCTGGTTTTAGCACTGAAAGCCGTTCATCCTGGGAAACCAGTCAGTCCCAGGCAAACTGAAACAGGTGACCCCCTTACAACAATCTTTCACTCTACAGATGAAGATGCTGCGACTCCAGAGTCTACAGCCCCAGGCTGGACTTGGCTAATCTTGTTTCTCCTGGATCTTAGCTCCGGTTCTTACTACCAGCCGAGAAAAGTAGAAATGCAGCCGTATTTCTAAAGCTACTTCTAATCCACTTGCTCCTAATGGCCTCTCCAGAGGTTCTCAGAGCCAGAAAATGCATTCTTTCCAGGAAGGTAGCATGGCTCTTACCGATTCTCACCACAGCTTGAATTCTATTCCTCATATATGTTCTGCTTGAGTCAAAATTGATCGGCTGCTAAGTATTGACTTCCTAACATTATATTCACACTGGGGGAAGGGGTGGTAAGGAGAGAGAATAAACAAACCAACTGCTATGGCATATTATTCCCTACCTACCCATCCCTTTCACCATTAGGCAATTCCGCTGCTTGGAAGGATGTAATTCTCAGCCCGTGTTGAATGTGGTGATTGACCAGTGACGGCTTACGAAGGGCAGCAGTGTGGTGGAAGGAGCACGCACAGGCTTTGGAGTCAATAGACCTGTTTTCAAATCCCAGCTTCACTGAGCACAGCTGTATCACACTACATCTCTTTGAACCTTGATCCCCCAATCTGAAGACGGGGATAACAATATCTTCCTTTTATTAATACTATGCCTTTAGTTAAGAAAATTATAATGAACTACCATTTCCCGGGTACAAAGCTCCTTCACATACATTGTCTTGCTGGCGCTTTGTCATTATTCCGTGAGGCAGGAACTGAAGGGGTCTCTTGTCAATCCTTCATCTGTACAGCCTGCCTTACACTCAGGCCATCTAGCCTCCCCAGCGTGGCCCAGGCCCCCCACATTCTGCACAATCACCCTCTCTGTAGTGGGAGTTCCCACTTGGCTACGTGGCCAGGCCAGCTGGACCCCCTCCCTGTGCTGTCCGGATGGATTCACAGAATAGACAGGAGACTCAGAGAGGGAGAACACATGTGGTCAGGTGCCCTACAGCAAAGAAAAGGGGGAGATTCAGGCAATTATCTAGATGATGCAGGTAAAATGATGCTGCACTGTTTTGTTTTCCCTTCCGCAGGTCATTGTCACTGACCCTGTGATGTGGTGTACATCACACATCCATTTGGCTTGGAAGAAGTGAATGACTGAGGAGTGAACCTCTACCACCCCATGGAGAACGGCAGGAATAAGCTGGCCCCACAGGCCACAGAAAAATCGCTGTGGCTATTGACTTGCTAGCAAGCTTTGTGGCTCCCTTAAACCAGTGTGTCTGGAACTGGGGTCTGGAATGTATTCTTAGGGATAGGTGAATTCTATCTGAATTTTTTAATTTTGTGTTTTCATTTTGACGATAATCTTTAAAAGATTTTTTTTATCAGATATAAGGGCAAAACTTTTCTATTCTTATAATTCAAAATTAGAGGACATTTTTATGGAATAAAACTTTAAATAAGATAGTGTTTCTCAAACTAGGATTTATGGCCCCCCGGGGATCTGCAAATGTACAAATGCATTTTCACGGGTCAACAAGAATTTATTTTCCCTTTAAAAGGGGTCCTTACTTTACTCTAGGTTGAAAGACACAGCCTGAAATTTCCTGTCCTCCTAGGCTCTCCCATTCTCTCTGTCCTGTTCCATAGCCATGCCAAGGACAAGCCAGTAACACACAGGCATGGGAACAGCAGATCACGAAGGGAATGTACTGAATGTACAAATGTCTCAAAAGATTCTACCTTCTCTCCTCTTTCATTTCCAGTTAAAACCAGTGTCCCTTTAACTGAAGCAGAAACCACCGAAACATCATAAAATCCACCATTCACGATTACTTCTGTGATGCAGCATGTCGTATCAATAAACACCGTTTATTAGGCCTCCTCCAAATCCTTTGAGCAGAGAGCACCAAGTCTAAGTCACTTTCCTCTTCTCTGGCTCAGGAGGGACCCAGCAGACTCAGCTTTCAAAGGGTGACCTCGTCCCTGAATGTGGGAGAGGTGGTGGGGTGACAGGAGAATGCCCAAGAGAGTGAGTGGGAGGCGTCCAGATCCAAGATGGGGAGCAGAAGGTCTTCCCACCAGGCTTGCTCTCCTCTGGGTCCCCAGTGTGCATGCATGTTTGTGTGGATGTGTATACACACATATTTTAATCAGAGCTCATCTCTTACACTGGACACCTCCAAAGGACTCCTCATTAACCTGTCTCCCACAGACACATTTACTCTGGAAAAGCCACAGGCCCTGGTAGACCTGTGCTCGTGAGAGCATTTGTTCAGGGCGGCTGCAGGGTTGAGGGGGGCTGGGATGGCCTTTGGGAGCATGTATGTCAGGTCTCCTCCTACAGGGACACTAAAACACTGTTCCTGCCTCCGATGTTCCTTTGCAGGTTTAGATGGTAAAATAACTAATTTTGCCTTGCTCAAGAGAGCGGATATAGATAAAAGAAACCAATTAAATACTATTAATTGGGCAGATGTGGGATACGCTGGGAGTGAAATCATGTCCTAGAAACAGCAAAGTCTCAAAAGAATAAGATGTCACAGTGGTACTCTAAGGATTCCATCTTTTCACTTCTCTTAAGATTGCTGCTTTTCTTTCCACAGAAAGGAACAAAAGACTGATTTTTCATCAGCCCAGAACGGATTTCTGCGGTAGCAAAGGAAGGCCTCAGGGGCTTCACTGACCTGGGAGAGAGCTTCCCAAGGGTCTGCCAGCTACAGTGCGGGGCGCCTAGACAACTCTGCACCACTCCTTCAAGCTCAGATGAGGCAAGAGGGTGGAGGTAACAGAGGAAGGAGTCCCCTTCTCTGAGCACAATGCTTCACGCCAATCATGTTTGTTATTGGTTCTTAGGGCAATGGCCGTGTGGCCCCTAGGAGTTTGGAAATGAGGGAAATAATTCTGAGAATTAAACCATGAAATCAACACGGAATGGGATCAGAGCAGAGGTCTCAAAGTCACCAGAGAGAGACGGGGGCTCAGCCTGACTAAAGGCAGCCCTGAGCGGGGAGGCTGGTCCCTAACGGCAGCAGAGCCAAGGGGACCTGGGAGACCTGAGCCTTGTGGGGCGTCACTCACATGTCTCCAGGGAATTCCCCATGCTGTGCCCCATCTGGATCATCAGCAGATGGCTCCCCAGAATGCACCCCTCAAGAACTCACGGGTCCTGCTGACATGCTCCACGCTGCTGTCTCGGCTGTTTCCCATGCTCCCTGCACTGGTCAGTTCCTGCTGTGGCTTGTCCGGCTGCAGGCCCCAGCGGACCTTTTGTAGGCCTGAAAGATGTCCCCTTTGGTCTCTTTTCCTTTGAGGGTAAGTGGGAACTGAAAGTCCGATGTGGATGGAACGGCAGTCTGTGGGCACTGGACAAAAGAGGGGGGAGGCAGAGTTACTGAAAATTGGCATTTCTCCTTAATAGCCTCCAGTTACAGAGAGCTGGGGCCACTGAAGCAGAATGGAAAACATGGGATCCCTGGAAAAGGCCACTGCCCTGAGGCTTGCATTTGACAGAATTCTATTTCTGAACCACTCAACAGTTGCTGGAAGGGATGTCCGTGGTGCTTTAGAATCCTGTTAGAATGAGCAGAGCTCCCAACTCCCCATTCTTGCTTTCCCAGAGCAGCAATGACCACACATGGCTTTTCACACATGGTCCAGGAAAGAGTCTCAGTGGGTCACAGATTTAGCCTCAAAGTCAAGCCTCCTCTTTGGTTGTTATGGGAAAGCCATATGCATTTCCATCGAGGGCCATTTTTACTAACAACCAAGGACGACATGAACTACTTATCAGAGAAGTGAGTTATTAAGGGTTTCTTAAAGCTGACTTTGTAAACCAGAATTTGCAAGAACAAGAGTTACCAAGAACCATAATTCAGAATTCTGCTACGAAGCCTGACTGCTACGTAAAGCCCCCACTAGTTCCATGCACACAGAGGCAGCTGGAATTCCTTCTGCTCTTGGGAAGGGCGTTCTGCTGCCCGTTTCTCATCAGCGTGTCTTGAGTTGGTGAACAATTTTTAAAATAATTAATAGATTATTTTAGTACAGTTTTAGATTCACAGAATAACTGAGCAGATAGTACTTAGAGTTCCAGGTACGTACTCCCACCCTACCCCTACCTCCACAGTTTCTCTATTATTTTTTTTGTTTAGACATAATTTACAAGTAACATTGTATTAGTTTAAGGCATACAACACAGTGATTTATGTGTATATTGTGAAATGATTACCACAATAAGTTAACATCAATCACCTCACATAGTTATAATTTTTTTTCTTGTGATGAGAACCTTTAAGATCTACTCTCTTAGCAACTTTCAAATATACAGATTATTAATTATAGTCACCATGCTATGTATTACATCCCCAGGACTTATTTATCTTATCACTGGAAGTTTGAACCTTTGACCACCTTCACCCATTTTGCCCATCCTCCATCCCCCACTTCTGGCAACCACAAATCTGTTCTTTGTTTCTATAAATTTGGGGGTTTTTTTAGGTTCTACATATAAATGAGATCATACAGCATTTGTCTTTCTTTGTCTGACTTATTTCATTTAGCATAATGCCCTCAAGATCCATCCATGTTGTTGCAAATAGCAGGATTTCCTTCTTTCTCTTGGTTGACTAATATTCCATTGTGTGTGTGTATATATATATTATCCAGTTACAATCAAAGAAAAAGCTTAAAGACAGAGAAGAAAGCCCCCTAACTTCTAGGAATCTCAGTTTCCTCCTCAACAGGATGATCACAAAATTTATTATCCAAACCAAGACATTTCTATAGTCAAAGGAAGTGCTATTAATTATTATTCTGGAACAACTGGCATAAACTGGGCCCATCCCAGGCGTCTCAGCATATAGTTGCTCTGCCCATTTGGAAAGTGGGAAAGCTGTACTCGATGATCTCAAAGAGTTCTTCTAGGCTCATATTCTATTACCCTCTAAGAAAAAAAAAAGGAAGAAAGAGTTGTATTTCTTCACACCGATTTCCTACTCTGACAAATCAGTATGTTGCCTCTTCTACCATGTGGTTTAATTTTTTTCCTTTTTTGAGGAAGATCATCCCTGAGCTAACATCTGCTGCCAATCCTCCTCTTTTTACTGAGGAAGATTGGCCCTGAGCTAACATCCTTGCCCATCTTCCTCTATTTTGTATGTGGGATGCTGCATTGTGTGTGTGTATATATATATATATATATATATACACACACACACACACCGCTTCTTCTTTATCTATTCATTCATCGATGAACACTTAGGCTGTTTCCATGTCTTGGGTATTGTAAATGATGCAATGAACTTGAGGGTGCAGATATCTTTTTGAGCTAATATTTTCATTTTCTTTGGATATAAACACCCAGAAGTTAATCGTTGGATCATATGGTAGTTCTGTTTTTAATTTTTTGAGGAACCTTCATACTATTTTCCATAGTGAATGCACCAATTTAATTCCCACCAACAGTATGAAAGTGTTCCCATTTCTCCACATCCTCTCCAACACTTGTTATTTCTCGTCTTTTTGATAATAACCATTCTAACAGATGTGAGGTGATATCTCATTGTGGTTTTGATTTGCATTTCCCTGATGATTAGTGATATTGAACACCTTTTCATGTACCTGTTAGGCATCTGTTATGTCTTTGGAAAAATGTCTACTCAGTTCTTCTCCCTATTTTTTAATTGGATTCTTTGTTTTTTTCTATTAAGTCATATGAGTGCTTTATATATTTTGGATATTAACCCCTTATCAGATATGTGATTTGCAAATATTTTCTCCCATTCTGTAGGTTGCCTTTCACTTTGTTGATGGTTTTCTTTGCTGTGCGGAATATCCTTGATTTGATGTAGTCCCGCTTGTTGACTTTTGCTTTCATTGCCTTTGCTTTTGGTGTCAAATTCAAAAAAATCATTTCCAAGACTAATGTCAAGGAACTTACTGCCTATGTTTTCTTCTAGTTTTATGGTTTCAGGTCTTACATTCAAGACCATTTTGTCCATTTTGAGTTGATTATGCTTATGGTGTAAGATAGTGGTCCAGTTTTATTCCTTTGCATGTGGCTGTCCAGTTTTCCCATCACCATTTATTGAAGAGACTATCCTTTCCCTAATGTATATTCTTGGCTCCTTTTTCATAAATCAATTGACCATGTATGCATGCATTTATTTCCGGACTCTCTATTCTGTTCCATTGATCTATGTGTCTGTTTTTATGCCAATACCATACTGTCTTGATTACTATAGCTGTGTAATTCAGTTTGAAATCAGGATGCATGATGCCTCCAGCTCTGTTGTTTCTCAAGGTTACTTTGGCTTTTTGAGGTCTTTTGTGGTTTCATACAAATTTTAGGATTTTTTGTTCTATTTCTGTGAAAAATGCCATTGAAATTTTGATACAGATTGCATTGAATCTGAAGATTGCTTCAGGTAGTATGGACACTTTTATAATATTAATTCTTCCAATCCATGAGCATGGGATATCTTTCCATTTATTTGTTTCTTCCTCAATTTCTTTCACCAATGTCTTGTAGTTTCAGTATACAGGTCCTTCACTTCCTTGGTTAAATTTATTTATTCCCAGTTGTTTTGTTCTTTTTGTTGCAATTGTAAATGGGATTGTTTTCTTAATTTCTCTTTCTGGTAGTTTGTTATTTGTGTATAGAAACACAACTGATTTCTGTATATTGATTTTGTGTCCTGCAACTTTACTGAATTTGTTTATTAGTTCTAACAGTTTTTTGTTGGGGTCTCTTGGGTTTTCTATATATAATAGCATGTCCTCTGCAAATCAAGACAGTTTTACTACTTCCTTTCTAACTTTGGTGTCTTTTATTTCTTTTTCTCGCCTAACTGCTCTGGCTAGGAATTCCAGTACTTTGTTGAATAAAAGTAGCATCAGTAGGTATCCTTATCTTGTTCTTGATCTTAGAGGAAAAGCTTTCAGCTTTTCACAATTGAGTATGATGTCAGCTGTGGGCTTGTCATATATGGACTTTGTTATGTTGAGGTACATTCCCTGCATACCCAGTTTGTTGAAACTTTTGATCATGAACGGATGTCGGATTTTGTCAAATGACTTTTCTGCATCTATTGAGATAATCCTATGATTTTTATCCTTTATATTGTTAATGGGATATATTACATTGATTGATTTGCAGATGTTGAACCATCCTTGCATCCCTGGAATAAATCCTACTTGATCACAGTGTATGATCCTTTTAATGTAACGTTGAGTTTAGTTTCCTAATATTTTGTTGAAGAATTTTGTTCATCAGGGATATTGGCTCGTAATTTTCTTTTCTTGTAGTGCCCTAATCTGGTTTCAGTATCAGGATAACGCTGGTCTCGTAAAATGAGTTTGGAAGTGTTCCTTTCTCTTCTATTTTTTAGAGGAGTCTGAGAAGGATTGGTATTAATTCTTGTTTAAGTGTTTGGTAGAATTCACCAGTGAAGACATCTGGTCCTGGACTTTTGTTTGTTGGGGGGGTTTTGATTACTGATTCAATCTCCTTACTAGTAATTGGTCTGTTTAGATTCTCTGTTTCTTCATGGATCAGAAGAAATTGGTCATTTTTTTTTTTTAAAGATTGGCACCTGAGCTAACAACTGTTGCCAATCTTCTTCTTCTTTTTTTTTTCCTGCTTTTTTCTCCCCAGATACCCCCAGTACATAGTTGTATATCTTAGTTGTGGGTCCTTCTAGTTGTGGCATGTGGGATGCTGCCTCAACATGGCCTAACGAGTGGTGCCATGTCCGTGCCCAGGATCCGAACCCTGGGCCGCTGAAGTGGAGCGCGTGGACTTAACCACTTGGCCACGGGGCTGGCCCCAAAATTAGTCAGTTTTATGTTTCTAGGAATTTATCCATTTCTTCTTGGTTGTCCAATTTGTTGGTGTATAATTGCTTATAGTAATCTCTTATGATACTTTGTATTTCTGTGGTATCATTGTAATGTCTCCTCTTTCATTCCTAATTTTATTTGAGTCTTCTCTCTTCTTTTCTTGGTAAGTCTAGCTAAAGTTTTGTCTATTTTGTTTATCTTTTCTATTGTCTTTTTCATTTCTATTCCATTTATTTCTGCTCTGATCTTTGTTACATCCTTTTTTCTACTAACTTTGGGCCTAGTTTGTTCTTTTTCTAGTTCCTTGAGGTGTAAACATAGGTTGTTTATTTGAGCTCTTTCTTTTTTCTTAATGTAGGCATTTATTGTTATGAATAGTATCCCCTGTTATTAATAATTTGCATTAGCGTGGTACATTTGTTACAATTAATAAACCAATATTGATACATTGTTATTAACTATAGTCCATAGTTTACATCAAGGTTCACTCTTAGTGTTGTATAGTTCTACAGGCTTTGACAAATGCATAATGATGTGCATCTACCATTACTGTTTCATACAAAATAGTTTTACCACCCTAAAAATTCCCTGTGCTTCACCTATTCATCCCTCCCTTCCCTCCTATAGGACCTCTTTTTACTGTCTCTATAATTTTGCCTTTTCCAAAATGTCATATAGTTGGAATCATACAGTATATAGCCTTTTCACAATGGCTCTTTCAATTAGCAATATGCATTTAAGTTTTCTCCATGTCTTTCACAACTTGATAGCTCATTTCTTTTTCTCTCTGAATAATATTCCATTGTATGGATGTATCATGGTTTGTTTATCCATTCCTCTATTGAAGGACATCTTGGCTGCTTCCATGTTTTGGTGATTATTAATAAAGCAGCTATAAACATTCATGTACATGTTGCTATGTGCACATAATTTTCAACTCAACTAGGTAAATACTTGAGTATTATTGCTGAATTGTATGGCAAGACTATGTTTAGCTTTGTAAGAAGCTGCCCAAATGGTTATACCATTTTCATTCCCACCAGCAATGCATGAGTGTTCCTGTTGTGCTGCATCCTCATCAGCATTGGGCATTGCCGGTTTTTTGGATTTTAGCCATTCTAATTGATGTGTAGTGGATCTCATTGTTATTTTAATTTGCAATTCCTTAATGACATTTGATGTCAAGCATCTTTTCATATGCTTATCTATCATCTGTAATATCTTCTTTGGTGAGGTGTCTGTCAGATCTTTTGCCCATGTTTTAATTGGGTTGTTTATGGCTGAGTTTTAAGAGTTCTTTGTATATTTTGAGATGCATATCCTTTATCAGATATATCTTTTGCAAATATTTTCTCCTAGTCTGTGGCTTGCCTTGTCTTTGTCTTAATAGTATCTTTCACAGAGCAGAAGTTTTTAATTTTAATAGAATGCAACTTATCAATTATTTCTTTCTTGGATGATGTCTTTGATGTATCTAAAAACTCATTGCCAAACCTAAGGTCATCTAGATTTTCTCCTTATCCTCTAGAAGTTTTATAGTTTTACATTTTACATTTAGGTTTAAGATCTATTTTGAGTTCATTTTTGTAAAAGATGTAAGGACTATGTCCAGATTCTTTTTTTTTTTCCAGATGGGTATTCAGTCGTTCCAGCAACATTTGTTGAAAGGACTATCCTTCCTCCATTAAATTGCCTTTGCCTCTTTGTCAAAGATGAATTGACTATATTTGTATGGGTCCTTTTCTGGGCTATTTTGTTCCATTGATCAATCTGTCTATTCTTTTGCCAGTATCATGCTCTCTTAATTATTGTAGCTTTATAGCAAGTCTTGAAGTTGAGTACTGTCAGTCCTCCAACTTTGTTCTTCTTCAGTATTGCGCTGGCTATTCTCAGTCTTCTGTTCTTCTGTATAAACTTTAGAATCAGTTTGTCAATAACAAAACAAAATAACTTGCAGGGATTTTGATTGGGATTGTGTTGAATCCTTAGGTCAGATTGGGGGGAACTGACATCTTAACAACATTCAATCTTCCTATCCATGAACACAGAATCTCTCTCCATTTACTTAGATCTTTGATTTCTTTAATCAGTTTTATAGTTTTTCTTATACAGATCCCATATATATTTTGTTAGATTTATGTCTAAGTATTTTTTGTGCTAATGCAAATGGCAACATGTTTTTAGTTTCAAATTCCAATTGCTGGTATATAGGAAAGTGATTAACTTTTGTATACTAATCTTGAATCCTGAAAACTTACTATAATTTCTTATTAGTTCCAGGAGTTTTTGTTGTTGTTTATTCTTTCATATTTTCTACACAGATGATCATTTCATCTGCAAATAAAGATAGTTTTATTTTTTCCTTCCAAATCTATATGGCTTTTATTTCCTTTTCTCGTTTATTGCATAAACTAGAATTTCCAATATGATTTTCAAAGGAGCAGTGAGAAGGAATATCCTTGCCTTGTTCCTAATCTTACTGGGGAAGCTTCTAGTTTCCCACCATTAAGTATAGTGTTAGCTGTGGTTTTCTACAGATGTGCCTCATCAAGTGGAGGAAGTTTACCCTCTATTCTTAGTTTACTGAGAGTTTATTAAGAATGAGTGTTGGATTTTACCAAATGCTTTTCCTGCATCTATTGATATGATCATGTGATTTTTCTTTTTTAGCCTGTTGATATGATGGACTACATTAATCAATTTTCATATGATGAACCAGCCTTGAATGCCCGGAACAAATTCCATTTGGTCACGTTGTATAATTCTTTTTTCAGTTTCAGCTTTGTTGTTGTCGTGAGGGTGGGAGTGATCACTTTGAAGCTCTTTACGTGTCAAAATGGAAACTAGAAGTCTTGTTTGTCGTTTTTAATTGTTGCAACTCTCTCTTTCATAAGTTTCTGCTACTGTAGCTTCTGGGTGGACTTCTTTTGGCTAATTCTACAATGCACAGTGATGTCTATTGACACCAACAATAGCTTTGATTTATAATTTTCTGATATCAAGGCTCTAACTTGAATCATCCACCTGCCAAATACTAAAGCTACTTTTGTCCTTTGGACCTTTACATTGTGTTTTATTTTCTTCTTTCTGAAGAGAAATGAGAATGAGTGGAGTAAATGAGTGGGAAGATCTTTTGCCCTGCTTAAATGGACTTCAGTAAAAATGTGTAAAAACCACTGGTTTAGGATAAGTTTGAGTCTGGAATTCCAGGGCGACAATTTTCCCAAGAGCAGGCTGGCCAACAAATACTGATTATTATAACTATTTTTGAAGCCCAAGAGTGGCAACTGAAAGTTGAAAGGCTGTGGCAGAAAGGGAAGTTAGACCTTACGTTCTTACACCAAGATCTACATTTACTTGTTTTTTTTCCCTGGAGAGGAAGGGCTGCCTTTTGGCTCAAACTCCTGAAATGCAGATACTAGACACCTGGGCACTCATCGGCTGTGGAAATCACACAGGAACCACATCAAGCTAAACCTTGGAGAAGCATGTTCAAGCCTTTTAGAGATATGTTGAGTGTCTGTATGAGTCATTCCTAGGCACTGGAGAGTCAGATTACCTGGATGTCAGTGTACAACCTCTTTAGAGCCCCAGCTTACCTCAACTCACCCCACTGCTTGCTCTTCTGGACCCTCAGTCTCCCTTGGGTATAACAAGGAATTCGAGGTAGAGATTTTTATGAAGTGCAGCCTCGCTTCCTAGTGGACTGGTATCAAAATGACTGGTGCTCCTCTTTCCTTTTCACCTCTCCCTCCAGCATGGTGTGACTTCCCCTGCTCTGCTACATGTCTTAAGCAAGCTGTAATTCGAGGTAAGCCATGGAAACCAACATTTAGAGGTGAGTAGTTCTACTCTAAGGGCTTAGCATACCTGGGGATTTTCAATGACGACTTCCTATCCTCCACCCTTGAGGCCAGGAATAGAAATGGGAAGCAGCTGATATGTCAAAAGGTCCTCTACTCGAGAGTCAGCTGCCCTGGGTGCTCCCTGGCTAGTTTTTCACTTGCTCTATGACCATGTACATCTGCCTCTCTGGAACTCAGTGACCTCATCTGTAAAATGGGAATAAAAATCCTTTCTCTGTTTTTTGAGAAATAGGATGGTATATGGGAATGTGATTATGAAAATTATAAAGGGCTATACACATGAAGAATATCCTTATCAAAGAAATCAGGAGAGTTGGCTGTCAGGAAAATATTTTACTACTGGCCTGGGATCTAACTTGTCCCATTTTTTCGAGGTTTCCATCATAATCATCAGAGGGTGGCTGGATAGCTGGTGAACTATGGGGAAGGGCTAGCCCTCCCCCCAACCTTCTTTCTTCACTTTGCAGGACCTCTCCTCTCACTGTGAACATCTTACAGTTTGGCTCAGGACAATGCCAAGTTCTCCTAGGAACTCCTCCCTGCATTCCTCTCCGTCAATAGCCCCAGAGTGTCTCTACACATTCCACAGCTCAGTGAGCATCCAGCTGGGCAGTGAGATTAGTGTTTCCCTCCGAGTGGGGCTGGGGTAGTGGCAGGACACCAGCCTGTCTGGCTGCCTCCACATAAGCCCTGAGGCTGATTCTCTGTAGGGTGTAGGATACTTAAGGGCCTCTGAGTTAGCAATTCGGGAGCAACAGAAATACCTCGACTCAACACCCTCTTGTACTGGTTTTAAATTAGCTGCCATTTCTAGAATCTATAAAATGCTGATATTTGGCATTTAGTATGGTTTGTAGATCTTGTAAAATAAAATGAGCTTAATTTTGCATTGGGGAAGCTATGCTCTAACCCACATGAGTAAGGTGCCAGATTCCTATCTCCAGCCTCACCACATGGTCCCTTTAAGACACAGTGAAGGTTGGTCCCACTAATCTAGAGCAGACACTGGGTGAGTCAGGGAAAGGGACCAGCTCTCCAGATTCCCCAGCTGGAAGGGCTGTTATAAGGATATTCAAGGAATTCTCAAGTTCTCAAGGTGACCTTACCTTCCTGATCCTGACACCTCCTCCTGTAGTTAGTGGGGTCCAGCTTCCCTACTCCAGCCCTCTCCTCCTCCACCTTCATGACTATAAAGTAAAAGATGAACATAGCCTCAAAATGTGTGTAGTACAAAAGGGTAGGATTTCAAGGACAAATGGTCAAACCCACACTCATAGTGGGGGAGCTTAACATACATAAAAAACAAATTAAGGCAAAAGAAGGTATAAACAATTGAAGAAGCTCAAATATGTTTATATATACATCCCTGACAAATAGAGAACACACTCCTTTTTCAAGTACAAACGGAACATTTCAAAGAGAGTGCATATACTAGGTCACAGAAAAGCCTTAAGTAAATTTCAAAGAATCTGTACCATACTTCTATAGTAAATATATATTTATATATATATTTGGAAACTAAAAATAATTTCTAATCATGGATTTAACAGGAAACCACATGGAAATGATTAAATATTCAGAAACCAACAATTACAACTACTACGTATTGAAACTTGTAGGATGCAACATACTCAGAGGGAACAGGAAGGAAGGAAAGAAAGAGAGACAGAGAGGAAAGAAGAAAGAAAATAAACGTGATAATTTTTCAACTAAAGTACCTAGAAAAAGACCAAGAGAGAAAATCCAAAGAACGTGGAAGAATACAAATATAAAATGTAACAGTGAAAAATAATGAAACAGAAAACAATCAAGCAGAGATGGTTAATAAACCCAAAAGGCAATTATTTGAAAAGATTATTAAAATAGGCAAAAAATACAAGACTAATCAAGAAGAAAAGAGAATATTCATAAGTAAACAACATGAATGAAATAGGGACATAACTAAAAATGCAGTCGAGAATTTAAAAATTTGAAGCATGCCATGAAAAACTTTATGCCAATATATTTTAAGTTAGATAATAATAATAGCTACCACTGCAATGTGCCAGGCACTATTTTAAATGCTCTGTATGTGTGACTGAATTGAATCTTCTCAAGAACCCTGTGAGATAAGTGATATTATTATTCCCATTTTACAGATGAAAAAACAGAGGCACAGAGAACTTAATTGACTGCCAAAATGAGGAACAGAGATTCAAACCCAGACAGTCTATTTCTAGAACTATAGCTCTTAGCCACTAGGCTAATATATGGATACTTTATTAGAAAAATAATAGAAATTATCAAAATTGACTTTAAAAGAACTGGAAAACCTGAATTAACTAATAACTACTAATTGAAATGGTTTTGGGAAAGGCATCACAACCCATCATATATTGATAATTATTGAAGCTGGTTTACAGGTTCAAAAGGATCATTATATTATTTTTTCTATTTTTATGTTTAAAAATTTTCCATAATGAAAAGAAAAACAAACACCAGGAGTGGATAGTTTTTTTTAAATGTTTTATCTGGACCTTCAAGGATTAGATAGCCTCTAACACACAAAGTGGTTCTCAAAAGTAGAAAAAGAGGAAATTGGAGTCAGTAGATACCTCTGAAGACCAGGGTACAGGGTGGGGCTGAAAACAGGGGAGTTGGTTGAATATCTCCATAAGGAGTCTGTTAAACCCTCAGATCTCTCTTCCAGGTTCCAGTCTGCTAGAATGTGCCCCCTACCTCAGAAGATGGAGAGGTCAACCCAGAGGACCCTGAATAGCTGAGGGCAAGAAGGAGTCATTTCACTGGGGGGTGGGTGGAGGTAAGTAAAGGCAGTTACTCAGCCTTCTGCTTACTCAACTCCTAGAACACTAATGCAGCATACACACTCCAGGCAGGAGACCAGACGACTTACAGATTCTGACATTTTGGGGACCTCTAACAAAATGTTGAGGGCTCCACCCCATTACTCACCGTGAGTCTATCATTCAACTAGTCCAGCCTGTCAAACAGCTGTTTGGTGGCTCCATCCAAAATATGATGGCGAACCAAGAATCCCCAGAATGACAGAAACCAAAACAAACAGGAAAAGAGAGAGTCCAAGGAAAAGGAGCAAAGTAGGCAGCCAAAGAGCCATTAAAAAACTACATAATTAACATCTCCAAGTAGACGAGGAAAGATATTGTATCCATGGGGGTAAAAAAAGGGGATGTTGTAAACCTGGAATTTTTTTTTGAGGAAGATTAGCCCTGAGCTAACATCTACTGCTAATCCTCCTCTTTTTGCTGAGAAAGACTGGCCCTGAGCTAACATCTGTGCCCATCTTCCTCTACTTTATATGTGGGATGCCTGCCATAGCACAACTTGACAAGCAATGTGTAGGTCCACACCTGGGATCCAAACCAGCGAACCCCGGGCCGCCAAAGCACAACGGGCCAACTTACCCACTGCACCACCGGGCCGGCCCCCATAAACCTGGAACTTTTAAAGAATAAGAAAGAATTCTTGAAAATTAAAGATACTTTAGAAGGAAATTTTTGATAAAATAGTTGGAACATAAAGTTGAAAATAGTCAGCTAATAGAGCACACAGAACTTTTTTAAATAGTAGGAAAAAGACAAGGAAATCAAAGGATCAACTCAGAGGGGCCAACATCTAATAATAGGAGTTCCTGAAAGAGAGATCACGAAAAATGGTAAAGAGGAAATTATCAAGAAAATGACATGAGAATATTGCCCAGAACTGAAGGATTTTAATTTCCTGATTGAAAGGAACTGTTGAGAGCTCAGAAACATGAATTTTTTAAAAAATCCACTCCAAGTCACATCCTCATGAAGTCTTAGAATATTACATAAAAAGAAATGATCTTAAAAGCTTCCAGAGGAAGAAAATAAGTCACCTACAAAGAATCAGACATGAGAACTGGCATCGGATTTCTGAATAGCCACCATGGAAGCTACAAGACAATGGAGTCATGCCTCCAAAAGTGAGAAAAAAGTATTTCAACCTAGAATTCCAGTCCTAACCAAGCTGTCAATCAAATGTGAGGGGAGAATAAGGGCATTTTCAGACATAAAATGTCTCAAAAATTTACCTTCTATGCACCTTTTCTCAGCAAGTGATTGAAGGAAGAACTCGCAAGATGAAGGGGCATCTCAGAAAGAAATAAAGCATCTGGAAGATGGGATTTACCAAAAAAGATTGGCACAAGGAGGCCCTAGGAGCAGCAGCCCAGAGAGTAACAGGTGCATCTTAGAGCAGGCTCTGGACAGGATGGCTCCTAGAAAAAACTAGACCTGATCAATTATCTGGATGTGTTCGACTGTTTTGAGGAGATACTGAGATTCTATCAAGAATAAAGGGTCCAAAGAAAGGAAAAGTAATTGTGGTACACTACACAACTCAAATGGGAGCAATATTTGTATAGTTATAGTAAATGGAAATGAATGTCAATTTTACCAAAACTTGTGGTATAAGCGGGTTGGTATTCCACCCATATGCACTGGTATGGCTGCTGTTTGTGGTTGGTGTCCATTCTAAGTGGTCAGGTATCCATTCTGATGGTCTGTGTCAATGCCATACTGCCTGTTACGTATTTTGAACATCCCTGCTAGTTGTAACTATTTGGAGAGGATGGAAAGATATAGGGGAAGAGTGTGAAGACACCTGTGGAGGACACTGCCAGCTACTGCCTGATGTCCATCCCCCTTTCTACTCTGATTTTGTTTAAGGCAGCAGTGTGGCCAACTAAAAATAATCACTTTCCCCAGATGCCCTTCAGCCATCTCTGGCTAAAGAGATATAGGAGAAAGAACCTGGGGAGAGATTCCCTTCCTGGATAAAGCCTCTGCAGAAGAAAGTCCCTTCATTTTCCCTTCTTCTTCCTTCCTGGATAGGGTTGCCATTTTTAGCAAATAGAAACACTGTTTTCCCAGTTAAATTTGAATTTCATACATGCAAAAAATAATTTTTAGTATAACTATGTCCCATGCAATATTGGGGACATATTATACTAAAAAAGTATTCACCGTTTGTCTAAAATTCAAATTTTGCTAGGAAAACTGTATTTTATCCGGCAACACTGTTTCTGGAGCTTAGATATGACGCCTGGAAGTGCAGCAGCCATCTTGTCATCATGGAGATGAAGGCCACGTGCTAATTATGGATACAAAGGGAAGAAGGAGCCTGAGTTCTTAATGTCTTCACTGAGCCACTCTACCAGCATTGGACAGCCCACACCTGGGCTTCCTGTTAGGGGGAACCACTAAACCACTTACTTGTTTAAACTACTACAGTTAATTATTGCGTTACTCAAAACCAGACCTGAGTCATGACAAAAGACTCTGGGAAAGTAAACATTTACTGGGCAAATAAGATTGGGTTCTGTTAGCAAGGAAAACAGAGAGAATGGACATTGAGTGGTCATCTAGCAGTGGTTGCTACACTTTCCAGCATCCATTCCCTCTTCTCCTTGCCCATATATAGAACTCCATCTTGTTCAGCTAGAAACAAGAGGCTCTTGATTGCTGTAGACACCTTCCCTGACCCAAGGCATGAACTGTGATCTGGCTAAACCATTCATGATAATCTTATGGCCCTTGGCCAGTAATTGATCTTAGGAGTAGTCTTGTGACCCTATCAAGCCAATGAGATTTAAGTGGAAGCCCAATGGGTAGGGCTGCCAGTAAAGCGTTTATTTTCCTGATAATACGTGACAGACATAGCTGGAACGCATGTTTTGCCCTTTACCCCCCCCCCCCCTTTTCCTTCATAGACCTTGGACATGAGACCTGTAGATGAAGCAGCCACCTTGCAACAATGATGTGACGAGTATGAAGACCAAAGGCACAGGCTAAGAACAAAGCCAAAGGCTAGAACTAACCTGGGTTCCTGATAATATCACTGAGCTCCAGACTGCTTATCTCTGGGCGTCCTGTTATGTGGGGGAAAAAAATCCACCTTATATGTAAACTGCTAATCAAGTTTTATATTACTTTTAGCTGAAGGCCTTTCTAACTGATACATAATGGAATACTATAGAGAGTTGAAATGAATGGACTAGATCTCTATGTATCAACATGTATAAATCTCAAAAACATAATGAGTAAAAAAATACAAACAAAATGACGTTATTTATATAAAACTTTAATACACAGAAAACACTATCAATATTGCTTATTGCTACATTTATAAATAATAGAAGCATAAA